TACTTTGTAGCAGGGAAGAGCATTATCTTAAAGCTGCTCCGCAGCAGCTCTGAGCCTCTGGTCCCTGCAGGTTGCATCTGTAAAGGCAGATCCATGACAAGGAACTGTGCCTTAGGGATGACTGATCTCACTGCAGCTGGTACCACATTGCAAAGGTGATGCAATCTTCAAAAAATGTGTATCAAAATGTGCTTTGTGCCATTACAGCACAAACCCAGCTACATTAGAGCAACGTGCAGGATGAAACATCAAGTGCTTACATTGGGAAAGGCTAAAATCAGGTCTGCTTGTGCAGATGCAGCGTGACTCGTATGCTTCAGCAATAGACACAATACTCATTATGCCAGTTTTTTCCCCGTTTGTTATTTAGACACTCATCAGAATATGTAATTATGTGTCTCAGGGGCCTTCCAGCAATATTGACCAACATATTAGCTATGCATCATCTAACTATATTACATACATTGTCCACTGTGAGATAAGGTGCTCTTAGCTTCTGTCAGACATGATAAACCAAGGTGAGATTAAAGTAAAAAAATCCAACCAAGCCAAAAAAACTCCAAAGATATATTAATCTTCAGGGGACAATCCAAAGCAACAACAGCCTGTTTGCGTGAAGTATTTTGCATTAATGTAATTATTTCTGTAACCAGTGCTGTTCCCAGGAAATTCAGCTGTGCTGAGCAGCGCTTAACCTTCAGCAACTTAAATCCCAGGGTTTCAAGGACCGAAAAAAGGGGAAAACATAAACATTGGCCATCACTAAAGGTCACAGTTTGAGTAACTTCTCCAGCAGTGCACAGGAGCTTGTGACAAAGGTAAAAATAAAAGGAAAACACAACACAGCCTTTGGCAGCCAGTCCCTTCTTACAGCTCCTGTCCTCATTTTATTAAACACCTCTCAGGTTCTGTAAAAATTAGACCCATCAATCACTACATGCCGGAGCACAATCTACTCTCCACAATAAATGAAGCTTCATTCGGTGGGGAAGAGAGGCAAAAACATTGCACAGGAAACCTCACCTCAGATGCATTTCAATTTTGGGGTACTAAAATTTCCAGTGTTGCTATTCCCTATTACCCCACCGACAATCCTCCCCTCACAAAAGGAAGAAAGGAATAAAAAAGAAAAGAAAGTCAAAGACATAAATACCACCCTACGGAAACACACTGAAATACAAAATTCATCTCTGCTACTTATGGGTATTTCACAGCTCTGCAAATCACAAGAAGCACTTACTTTGCTCTTCTTGCTGCTGGACATTTTATTCCTGAGATAGCTGAAGGTGCGACTGACTTTCGTTCCACCTTTACTAGTGTGGACACTGCTGCTCTCTTCAGATACGCTAAAATCAAAAAAGAGAGAAATTGCTTTTATTTTTTTTTCCTCCCAAAGCATCTATTAAATGGATAGATTATGTTTAAAGACCAAATGCATTTACAATCCAATAGAGTCACGGGTTACTTTATGGTGTTATACCAGAGAAGGCAAAGTGAAGATAAAATGCCAATCCAGTAGTTTGTCGTATGTTTCAAGGAATCATTTTATCTGTTTTTAAGCAATTTCCATTCTCAAACCAGGCCATAGCACCCTCTGCTGCTCCTGTGGCCAAATAACTACTAACCAGCTTGCAGCATGGCCAGTGTTGCAGATACACAGTCAGTCTTGGCATTGAATCATCAATATTTCAGATGTGGAGCGGACAGAAAGGGGTAAGACATGCATTCATCCTTTAAAAAGAGATCTCCTTCCAGAGAAAGGCATCTAATGAACTCTGAAAAGGCAGTGAGTGTCTTTAACGGAAACCACACTGTCTGCAAAGCCTCCCCTGAGAAATGAGAATACCAATACTAAGTAATAAAAAGCAATAGTTATTTGTATTGATTTAGGCATTTCGGGGACGCCAGGTATTTTCTGCCAGTCTTTACGTGCAGAAGCTTATGACTTCTTCGGCTTCTATGGAAGAACAAGAAATTACAGAGGAAATTATTATTGAATTAAAGGACAAAGTCTGTCAATAGGAAGTACAATGCAAACCAAAAGCAGAACAACAGAAAGACAAATGAAATCAAGGAGGAGAAACCAGCAGCGAGCAGAGGTGAAGAACCTCCCAGTCACAAAATGAAGCTGAAGCTATTGGAGTGACACAGAGACCAGACACCCAGCTCCTTCGTCCTTCCTCCAGGGAAGCGCTTTTAAAGCTAGCACACACCAGAAAGGTTATCTCCTCTCTACAGCTTGCAAGGGTGAAAAGTAACATACAAAAACATGATTGGTCTGGCCTTTGTTATAGAAATATAGACAGAATTAACCAAAGGGAGGAACAACTACTTCTTCTAGCATAAAATATAACTCAGGGTAATCTAAAATTGTTCAATAATAGATAATCTGATATAATACTATCTATGAATAAACACAAAACCTTGTTAGAGATAAGACCTAGAAGAGACGTTTGTATTCTATGATCTAAAATATTCTTCAGCCTTTAGATGTACAGGACTGATTTTCACAAGCCTGACACTTGCAATTTCAGCTGAAGCGCACTGGTGCCAGGAAGGCTTTTGGGTGTCCCAACCAGAGCCCACTGCAGGAATCCCACCAGAAGAGACATAGTACCCCCAGAATACTGTACCTCTGAACTGAGGAACCCGGGGGGCCGACGAACACCTGCGTATCTGGAAAAGATTGGAGGGGTAGGGGGGGATGACATGTTAGACTGTGATCTTAGCCCATTGATTTTAAAAACATAGTTTGCATATTTGGACAGTTCAAGAGGAAGGGGAAATGTTTTCCAGAAGTGAGTGTTTAGAATAGGTTTCATGTGCTCAGGGTAAAGCCTGTTCCCTGTATCCTTAGGTGCTCTCAAATTAGATGCTGAGGTGAAAGCCTGCTTAGTATTTTTATCGTTCTTCAGCTATTAAGCAAAGGATGTGCATCTGTTAAATCTGGTGATAAATCAGGGTATCTGAATCAGAACTGCCAATTCAATAACAATAGGTATAAATGAGAATCATTCTGCCACAATGCTTTTATTTATACACCACTAGAAAGAATCTATTGTACAACACATCCGGGTTTCATGTATAAAACTTTTCTGCTTGATAAAATTATAGTTCATTTTCCCATCAAAATCCTGAAGCACTTCATAAAGAGAAGGGAAACAAGGGAAGCCTTATTCTGTTTTCCACAAAACATTACCAGCGCCTAGGGGTTAGTCACACAACAGTGTGCTTGAGGAAAGCCTGACTTTTGACACGAAGCTGAAGCCCTGCCAATGACACAAATTCTCTTTATACCGCAAGAAACCTGCTTGCACAATGCATTTGGAGCAGATTAGGTAGCTGATACCATTTACCAGAACCATCAAAGAATACTGAAAAGTCAGAATGAAATGATCCAGAGGAGAGGGGGCTCTCTCCAGAGTAACTGGGCTTGTCAGGACTCCAAAAAAACCCTCACTACAAGCACTGTTTGCAATCCTATTTGAAGTTCAAGAAGCAGTGTGACTGATCAGTTTATTAGGCTTCTGCATATACATTATAAGAAAAACAGTACTTTGGCTTCAAATTCTGTCAACATATTAAAGCTAAGAGTGAAAGCAAACGAGCCACTTGACATCAGAGGCAAAGATGGTCCTCTAGCCAAAAGCAGTAAGTGCATTAGGAAAAACTGTGCATACAATATTATGCCTTATGATTCTAAAATACACATTTTCCTAACCACTGATTCAAGTGTCAACACAGCCTGAGACAGAAATATCATTTCTTCAGATTGAGAAACTAAAATACAGGCATACCCCATTACCTAATCCCTCCCTGGAGAGATCTCCCTCACAAAATCTTTCATCTAATTAATGATCTATCCCAAATACATCAAAGTTAGTAATACTGTAACATAAAACGAAGCCTACTACTCAATTTCCTGACTCTGCTTGGTTTTTGTATAATATCTACTACCTAAGTGCCTACTAAGATCATACAAGTAATTTACAGACTCCCAACTCCTTGGTTAACACTCCAGTGACTCTGGTTCAGATTTCAGCTCTCGTTTGCTTTCAGCATGGGTTAAGCCTCCTTAGTCTTTCCTTTCTTTAATAGATTCATCAATTCGACTGGATTTAAGTATTGCACAAACCTTTTTGTTTCTTTGCAGTTTCTTTTTCTAACGTAAGAAATATGAACGAACGTTGAATAAAGAGCTGTAATAATTTTATATTTGTGACTGTTTTTCAGCACCTTGAGAAAGTACATTGCATGGGAACTTGAATTATGTACTATTTATCTTTTACTGCAATAGTGTTTTATCTTAAAAAAAGAAGATTCTTGACACTAGCTGGCAAATGGATCCAGACAAAAATCAAGGCGAAAGCCTGTTTATGACTTCATGTTTTAGTTTACAATATAACATCATATGATTGAGATTCTGCTGCAAGCCATAAAGCCTGAGGAGATGAGCACAGAAAAGTACACATTTTCTCACTTTCAGGATTTTTTTTTTTTTTGGAGTAGAAGGGAGCAAGGAAGGTTTATTTCCACAATTTTTGCGTTTCCTGAACTGAAATGCTAAAACTGATTGCACAGCCCACAAAAGAAATTATTTTTGTTCAAAGGCCAGGACGGCTATCTATGTCCAATGAATCTGGGCTAGCAGCCAGATTTTGGTGTATTTAACTGAACACCTTTTAAGCATCACCCACCAAAATTATTTCGTGTGGTAGCTGGACTTGAAATAGTTCATCAAGTTCCATTATGCAGACAGCAGCGACTAGACTAGGATATTGCAAGCGAAAGAAACCAGCTTGCAACTCCTTAATGCTGGCAGTAATTAAACTTCTGTGGGTCAAGAAATCCAAAGGCTTCATAAGAATTTTCTAAAATGCACAGACTGGCTCATCCAGCCATCTGAAATCCACATCTTAAATACATGATATTGAACAAACTGCAACTAATTCTCCATACTCTAGAGAAAAAGAGGCATGGAGATGTCAAGGAATGGTAACTGAAATGCAAGTGCAATCTCAATGCTAACACATCCATCCTCTCATGAGAAATGAACCGTGAAGATGGGAAAAAATAAACGAACTGGTCTGGGATTACTGCATGAAAAATGCCCATTGCCAAAGCAGTCTTGTAAAAAGCTGTGGCTAAACCAGCCTTCATATAAAGCCACCAGAGTACCCTCAAATATGAAGGAATAAAACACATGTAAAGGAAGCAACATCTTTCTTTGAGACAATATCCGACATGACTTTAAACGCTCATTGGTAACAGCAACATTACTGAGGGAGAGAAGAGAAATACTGGCTAACAGAAATACCCCCCAAAATTGCTATATCCTATCCTGACTATTGGGAATAACTTAACTGGTTGGATGCTTAAAACAAACAAACAAACAGAATTATAAAACCAAACCAACCAACCAAACCAAACAAAAAACCCAAATCCACCAAGAAGTTTAGCTAAGAGTATTTTTTACCATGGGAGCGTGACATCCACACACAGCTGCGTCTTTGCAGCTCACTTTGTGGGGAACATGAATTGTGAGTTTTGCTAAAGGCAGAAGAGAAGGAGAGAGCAAAGGGGAAGGAGCTTAAATACAGAAGTGGGTAGTATCACACCTGGGAAGAGCACAGGACTTTCTTGTAGGAAGGGACAAACCCACAGTGAAGACTGGGAATGGAAAGGAGGAGAATTTAGATACCTACAACATGGATGGTGCAGAGATATTTTTAAATTCAGGAAGCAACCAAAATCTGTTGGACTGGAAAGCAATTTCTCCCATCCCAGTATGGACACGAGGGATGTGGGCTAGTTTCCTTGCCAGCTTTTGATTTGAACCAACTAATGCGGATGCTCGGAATTTTCTCTTTAGATAGAGAATTATCTGTTCTGGTTTATTTCAACAGTCTAATAAAACATGCTTAAGAAATAAGAAGCATTTTCAATTATCTTTGATAAGCCTATTTAAAAAAAAAGAGGAGTATAAATTACTTTAATTCAATTTCTGCCTTCTCCTTTTAGCAATGGAGTTTGCAGGAGGAAAAAACTACCATATAACACTCGCCTGTTTCCTAACAAAACTATTCTGATTATAATATCAGGACCTAGATATGAACACCTTGACAATTTAAGGTGTTTGGCTGCAATGTGTGCTTTTTTGCTCAGCAGGGGAACTGTGAAGTTGGAACTAAGATTTTCAGAATTTAGTATCAGGGCTTCTCTCCTCTTCTCCTACTTCCACCGAGCAAAGTACTCGCTGTCACCTATGGACAGCAAGGATCTACCTCTTCTGTTACACACTGTAACAATCTCAAGACCAGTATTTTGGTTTTAATAAAAAGATAACGACTATATTGCTGATCAGAGTGGCAGACGATGACATTTGCCACGTGGATACAGACCAAAACTAACCAGATGAGATGTGATGGTGCTGATGTACAAGACTCTTTGGATTATAATCCTTTCATTCTGCCATTAGTTAGCATTCAGATACAGGCCTAAGATAATATTGCTAGCCATCATGCAATGGAAAGGTTAGTTCAATGTTTGTAAGGTGAAGCCTCAAGGTCTAAAGCAGAAAACCAGATTTCCCTTAGTTTCCACCCATAATGGCTCCAACGCACAGAAAACGATTACTTACTATCCAACTCCTCCTCCTCATCACTGGAAGAAGAGCCAATAGAAAAGAGAGTTTTAGACTTAGGAATGAGTGGAGAGATGCTGAAGGAGAAGGAGATTCGTCTCGATGGTCGAGTCCGTCCCTGGGCTGAGAAGTGGGTTAACAGCAGACATTAGAGCATGCTTGAAAATGCATTTAATAACAAAAAGGAGGGGAAAGCGGCCAAAGCAAACTAAAACCAAAGCAAAGGAAATGTCTGCAAAGCAGCTGGCTTCAGAAAAGGCACAAGAAACAAAGAATTGAGAACGTGCAAATTCCAAAGGATGCAGGTCTTAGTGCATATATCAGTCGAGGTTTGAGGCTTTCTTATCTTTGCTGCCATCTTTTTATAAGAATTCTTAATGAAGACTTACATGTGAACAGTTATTTTCCCCAACAGAACACCAACAACTTTGTGGATCTTTGGACAAAGGACATCTGCTTCACTGAAATAACTGCCAGGGAATCAAACTAGGATAACGCAAGATACTTGTTTAATGGTGCTTTTTGCAGTTAAATGACACCAAAGCTGCTTGGTATAGAAAGGATACTATATCTGAAGTGTTGACTTTACCCAGATTCTTGCCACTTCTATCTCTAAAAAAAACCCCAAACATTTTGATAATGTTATGCCCTTCAAAGTTTCCCGGTTTAAAAAGGACACACCTAAATTTCCTTTTTTTTCTTTCCAAAGTAAAACAGAAAAAGCAAGTATCTCTTCTCCTGCCTTCTAAAACTCACAGTCCTTGTTTTAAAGAAACTGCCTAAATATGAGAAAAGCCCCTCTGTACCCTATCCTGTCCTTGCTTGGAAGATGTCTACCAAAATAGTGCCAAACTTGGCAATCAGTCTGTGACATCAAATCTCCCATTATCAGTGGGAGAATCATCTTTTCCAAGATATGTTACTGCTCTGCCTTCTGCTTATTTCAATTTGTCAAGTTATATTTATCTCCCAGTACTATGTGCTTTTCCAGGAATCCCTGCTATTTGTTCATGCCCTCATCTGCAACTTTGCAAATTAAAAAGGTTTACTGTAATTCCTGTTTAAAAACAATTTATTTTTAAGAGCAGCTCTTGCATAGCAGCAGCTTTGCAACAATTCTTTATAAATACAATCTTGTGTGAAAAGAGATGTAGGAGCCAGTTAGCCACTCTTAACTGAAATTGCTACACAGCTTCTTAGGGAGATGCCCAAGAACTTTATTTCCCAAACCTTCCCATCATACAAGCACAAGTGGAAACCTCTGAGCTGTGACCTGACCAACGTCAGGTTGCTGGATACCCATTGCTCACACGGTACATCGGTCTGTCCCTGGGAAAGATGACTGGGACAGGGCTGGGGAAGCTCTCCCCCTGGGACAGGTCTTAAGGGTCCTACATTAAGCATCTACATTAAACATCTTCAGCACGTATATTCAGGCACTTTTAAGCCATTCCATAGCATGGATAAATCAATTTGCTTGCACAACAGGGAAAAGAGGCTAAGGACTTTATCAATGTTAAACTTCCAAGAGAAAGAAGTAGCAATTATTACTCTCTCTGAATAAAACATGTCCTTTCAGCCACATACAAAGATAATTTTTTGTATTGCTGATATCATAACCCAAAACTGAATTCAGAATATAAAAATATTATCCAAGGAATATCCAATGCAATGCAAGCAGTGCAAGGCAAACTCCCCTGAAATTTTCCTTCAGCCATTAGTCATAAATGCCAACTACCTAAAGGCGATTTGACTAAAATTACGTGCGACTTTTCCAACATAAGCAGAACAATCCTGGAGGGACCCAATGAAATGCATTTAAACTGAAGAATTCTTAGCAGGATTCATGCATTAATTTTGTTTAGACTGCCTTTCAAAGGAGTTGTTCAAGTGTCTCAGACCTGAAGAACATGACTAGGCAACACTGCCTTCTTTCTTCTGTAGTCCACTGTCTATTTAGACTAAAAGTCAAGATGAACAATAATACTTGACTGTAAATAGAACCACCTCCTCCAGCACAGTTCAATTCAACTTCCATTTCAGTGGTTTTATTTATAGCAATTCCTGGCTTTATAACAATGCTCCACACTGGAAATTTGCTATTCCATAGCCGAAAGCAGTCTTCCGAACACTCCAGCCAACAGCTCTTGTGACCTCCCTCTATAAAATGCTGAAGGATTAACAGTTGTGAATGGCCACAGCAGCTCTTGGAACATCTGAGACATCAGATGGAGTGCAGGCTAGAAACTCAGTCTTAGAAATTACTCCTGTCTTGGTACGTATGACAATAAACGGGAAAAATAAGAGAAAGCCCTCCATATGTTTATTCATTTGGCTTTAGTTTTTGAAGCTTTCATGCAGAACATGTTGCTTTCTTCCCATTCAGACACATTTGCAGGGATCAGACTTTTTTGTTAAACACCTACCACAAAATTATGCAAGTGGAATGAAGAATTAAAGTTTTCCTAGATTTCACTTCCATGAAATCAACCATTTATTCTTGCATAGCTCTGAAGTATTCTGCTGCACTAACATGAATGTCAAACCTAGGTGATACAAGGGAGTTTATACACCAAGACCTTCTTGTAAAAGGCACTAAGCTGCTTCACATGTACTTACGGTCACAACTCACGTAACACTATTCCTCTTTCAAAGTGACTGAGGAAGAATGAAGTGATTTACTGAAGTTTCCAAAGTCAGGAAAGTGTCAGAGTTGGGAAGAGAATCTGTAACCTAAATTTTCAAGGTGAGTAATCCTTTTGGATGCTCACATCAAACACCTCAAATGCATCGATTTTCAGAAACCACCTTCCTATAAAAATAAGGCCCTTCTGAGGCGGCGCAAATTAACTACTGAGAAAATAAAGCTCACAGAAGCGTTAGTAATTTTTAACTTCAGTGTTCAAAACTCACAGACATTCGCCTCAAAGCAGAAGACTAACTCTGCTCCTTCTTCCACAACCCCTCTGGAAAGTTTACTACATCTTCTCTTTTCCTTCTCTCTCTCAATGAGTCCATCGTGACTAGGCCAACTCTAGAAGAACATGGTATAATCAAACCTGTCTACCACCAGCTCAGGTCTTGATGGCATTTTTAATGTGGGTCATAAGACAGAGAAGAGCAGAAAGGCGGCAAGTTGTCCAATTCCAAGATGGAGGCACAAATCCTCTGCTGTTTAACCCCCGCTGTGGGCTTGCAGGAGAGTCTCAAGGGAGAGAGAGAGACGAGGCTCTCAGCCACCGACAGCGCGTTTGCTGGGAGCTAGCCGAGTTTTTTATGGTATTTGGTTAGCAATTGGATGCAATGCCAATAAATTGGTTGCTTTAAAAAAAACACCACCACACACCAAAAAAAAATGAAGGCCTTTAGCCCCAGGGGGAAAGAGGGTGTGCCATTATGCAGAGCAAGAGCCAGTCTCTTCACGTGACAGATCTGCTTGTGTTTTGGTTACCGTTACTGGGGGACACATCCATTAGGCCACATGCTTATTAATCATGAAATAATGATAGCAAAGAATTTAAAAACGTCTCCTACAAAGCACAATCTCTGTGAGCTTCCCCCAGCAAGCCTCCTAAATTAATAAAATGCCTTTCTTAAAAGCACCTTTCCCTTGTTCAGCTTTGCAAGGGAGAAGCATATTAATAAAGAGGACAAGATCGGAGATCAGACGTGATCTAAAATGTCAATATGGTTTCTGGCTGGCAATAAATAAAATGAAAACATGTGTAACGTGACCCTTCCTAAACACATCCAGCTGCAGCCTTCTGAATTACTTTTTCTGCTGAAAGAATCAATTCAATGAAGTTACAAAATTAAGTGCTTGTTATCACTTCAGTTAAGCTAAACTGAAAAATTTCACCTAATTGTCTTTTATTATTTTCTCCAGGAATAAGATAACTGCCCCAAAACATTTAACTCAAAATAAATAGCAACAAATTCCCCCGAGGAGACCAAGACATGGATTCTCAAGTTTCCATATACCAACTTCAAAAAAATCCAGAAGTAGGAAAATAAGATCACAGGTGGAATTTACCTCAACATCAAAGGAAGAAACTCTGAAAGGATGCAAAATTCAATTTTTTTTTCTTTTTTAAAATAACAAACTCAATAAATCATATTTTTCATACCAGTAGTCTAATTAAGAAAAAAAACAAAGAAAAGAAACCCAACAGAACTAGAAATACCAGGGATACACTGGGAAGAACAAAATATGGATCTAGACTGAATGAGGTCTCCCTTTCCACCCACAATTTCATGCAGCAGTGAAACGTATTTCACATATTATAGGGAAGCAAGAGCAGGTACTAGCAAATTCTGTCTTGGGAAGGTAGCAAAATATACTTAATAATGCAGATGACAATGGATAAGGATAAGGGAAAATTGCATTACTCACTGTCTGGTACTGGTTTGTTAATTGACATTAGAGACATAGATTTGGTCAGTGGAGATGAAACAGCAGAAGAACAGAAATTAAATCCTTGCGGCTGCGATGTTTGATGCATCTGTGGAACAGAAAATAACCACACTGAGCAAAGATGTCATGCACGACAGCAGTATCCCAACTACAGGTCACAGTTCAGTGCTTATGTTTACTGAAATTCTCAAACAGCAGAAAATTGAAACAATCCCGCTATAAGGTAATAGGTGAGAAATGCAAGGACCACAAAAAAATGCACGCAGCATCACAGAGGTGAAGCACAACATTTTGTTTTGTCTTTTAAGTGGAAGACAGCTAATTGTGCAACAAACAGAGGGACTCTGGCCTGTTGATTTTCTTGCAAGATATTACTTCGCTATTATTAGGATGGATATTGTTAATTGTCTGATGGCCACTGGAATTACTGTTGTGATTCCAACTCCTCAGCATAACTAGACTGTGGCACAAACATGGTAAAAAAAATCTGATGCTTAGCAGTGCGTTCCCCAAAAATGCTATTCCTTGAAGCAAGAGAAGACATGAGAGTCTTGACATAATAGCTCCTATAGGCCAGATCTTTTAAGACCCGTTTACTGCCTTGATGCACAGCAGTGACTCTATGAGGTAAAGAGACTGGCTGGCTAATAATTCTGGCATCAATACAGAAAATACTATATCTGAAACTTCAGACTTGGAAATCCAGGGTATTTATAGTATTAGGACTGCAATTGCTTCTTTAAAATAAATAAGCAGAGTCTCTTATAATATTATGGCCCAACTGTCCTTTAGGGTGGAAGCCTTCACAGTGAAAATTACTTCAAAACATTGATGTAGCATTTTCTAGATATCTAACAATAGTTGCACAGCTTTACCTGGTGATCATAGTCTCTGATTTCCCTCTGCTCGAGTTCTTCAGAGAGTAAGACCAGGGACCCGCACTGATTGCTGGCAAGCGGACTCCGTCTGAGGTCTTTGGAGCTCAGAGAAGAAGCCTCCAAGTTTCCAGAGGGCTTCTTGTTCTCACCAGAGTCACCAACAAGGCCTTCTAGGCTGTAACTGAAGAGAAATCATGGAGGTTAGATCCTGACAAACTCTTAAGGACTGGTGTCTTTCAGCACATAGCACCTTCAAGCGTAAAACACAACGCAGCCACTAACTGAACTATGCAGGGAAATGCTGATGTTATCCCTCAGCATGTTACTTCTAAATGACCAAATGCAGATAGCAGTGGAGGGATTTCTATTTTCTTCAGAACAAATAGCAGCATCTTTGAGCCTCTAAAGAGACAGCAGTTGCCTGAGAACGACCATTCAAACTCCTAGTCAATAGGCTTTCCTACTGGGTTTTTTTTCTTTTCCTTCTTGAATGGTGCACAGGAAAATCTAGAAACACCTCTTTCTAAAGATTTTAGTATTTCCACATATTCTCTTTGCTAGCTTGTCATTAGGTTCTCCTTGGGAATAAAGACACCCAAATTAAACTACCTCGTACAGCATAGTGCTGCCTGTCCTGGACACCAGCCCTCCCAGCAGCCGCAAAATCAGCTCTGGGCTGCATGTAATGTTCGTCTCTGCAGACACATCCGCTGAATCTGTTTACCACTTACCACTGCACAAAGCTTTGGCACTGCTTAGTGTTCTTCTTTCTGCCAAAGCTGGTTTCTTTTTTTCCCTTTCTCTTTTTTTTTTTTAATTCAATAAATGTTGCCTCCATCAGCCGAGCAATCCTATTTTATCATTTGCTGATGAAGCTAGGTCTGTCCAATAGAGCCAGACATAATCACTCAAAGCTAAACAAAATACCAAACTTTTGCTTGCAGAATTAGTAGCAATAAAGGGTTTGGCCAACCTCTGTAGAGAGAGCTGCTGATAGACACAATAGACATGTGATCGCTACAGAAAAATGCTAAAAACCTCTCTTCTCACCTACATAAACCAATCCCTCTTTCACATATGACTATTTCCATCTGATCTTTCTTGGCCCTGATATTCTGCTTCTGACCCTCCTGCTTCTTGTGCCCAAGCATCCATAAAGCCCCTGCAATGCCAGTTTGGGTTAATGTGCAAGCTTTACAGGTTCACCTCCTGGTATACTAGCACAACTCCATGGCTAATATTTGATTTTATTCACATAAAGTCCTGCTAGCTTGAAACAAGGCCTATCCTGGAGACATATCCCAGCTCAAGGCTAATCATGACATCTAAGTGGACAACAAACTAACATATAAGCAAATGAAAGGGAAAGCACACTATAGCTTGTACAGATTATTTAAACAACCAGAGGACCTTTAAATTCAAGAAGACTTGCATAGCAGTGATTAATGTTCTGCATTACTTTAGAAGCATTAAGTGGCTGATAAATATGCATTTTCAAAGCAAAAATTGCAATAAACCTTAAATAAGATTTAGTTAATTTTTAAAGACTCTTTCATATTAGTTAATGAGAAAGAAGACTGATTGAGGCATTTGCAATTTAACCTGTTTTAGGAAGACTTTGACTCAATAATGTGTATCAGTAACAGGCATGATAAAGTTTATTCTAAAACACCTGCAAAGAGAAATCAATCCAACTTCTACCAATTATTTAGGGCAGAAGTACATTTTTTTTCTTGCATCCCAAGGTGGTAACAATGACGTTATATAGTGCAGAAAAAAACATGTAGTTTGTTGTGACACAAACAGCTCAAAACTGCAAATATTTGATAGCAAATAAAATAGTCATCAGTTGGTCATACTGGTCTGTAATTGTTGGTTGGGATATATATAGACCAAATGTAGTTAAATCTGTAATGGGAAGGACATATCGACTTCTTTCTCAATGTCTAGTCTTCAAAAGAAGAGTTTAATAGCTTTACCCAACACCAGCAAGAACTGCCAGAAGAAATCAGAAGCTGTAAAATCTGGGAGACTGGCATCCAGGCAGCATCAGAGGAAAATCTGACCTGCAAGCATCAATCCCAACTCTGGGACTTTCTACAGAAGATGCAAGCTTTAGATGCCTCGGAAATCTTCATCTGTGGCTATCAGATTGGGTTTGCACAGAAAGTTTTACATGATTCGCCTCTTTGAAGAAGAAACTAGATCTTTCAATTCACAAATAGCAAGACTGAATCTTCTATGAGATCCATCCAGAACAAAGCAGCACTGAATCACATTAACTCGTTTTGATTCTTTGGCTGTCACAATTATTGTTATGATCACGGGTGTAGAAAAAACACACCATAAAATCACCACAGAATAGAGCAGCTCAAACCAACAGTGCAGCTTCTTCAGTGCTCAAGGCCCATGAAAAGCAGCCACCACCTTTACCTGCACCCCAGTTCAGAAGAACCATTCCCAAGACTAATTGCAAACGAAGCGAACACACACGTGCATGCTTCAGCCAGAGCAACAGCGGAAAAGACAATGCACAAGAAGCTGATGACAGGGTGCTTGCAGTGCTCCTTCGCTGCTGCTGCACGTTTATTTATACCGTACCTTCTACAAGTAAAGTCAGGACCCATGGCAATGAATTGTACACCAGAGGGACACCAGCTCAAACTGGGAACATCAAAAGAGGCAAAGAAAGGAGAAGGACTGTGATTATTGGATTGTTATGGAACAGGGGAATGTTAAAAGACTCTCACTCTTGCATATCTTAAAAAAAAAAACCCCAAACAAACAAAAACCAAAACCAACAAAACTCAGAAATAATGCAGTTGCTACTATGTATTTCTGGCTGCCAGAACACACCAGAGTGCCCCAAGTGACCGAGGTTCCCACCGAACGGGTAGCAGGACAGCCCATGCTTCCCCCAAACCCATCCCATCCGTGAGCATGCAATGTACTGGAGAAACTCTCCTTGTGGGGAAAGATGTTTTTGGGGAAAACAAGGCTGTAATACACCAAAGCCAATTTTGCGTAAGTAATCACACACAGCCATTGTGTTAGTAACGATTAGTATTTTTCTGGTACGTCTCATCCCCAAAGCAGAAAAAGAATCCCTTACAGGTATTTAATCATTTAAGTCCTCTCCATATGCATTGAGTTTGTGTGGCAAGGTTTTGGTAGTGGGGGGGCTACAGGGGTGGCTTCTGTGAGAAGCTGCTAGAAGCTTCCCCCATGTCCAACACAGCCAATGCCAGCCAGCTCCAAGACGGACCCACCACTGGCCAAGGCAATAAAACCCCTGGGATAATGTATTTAAGAAGGGGGAAAAAAACACCAATAGCAATTGCAGCCAGAGAGAGGAGGGAGAAGATGTGAGAGGAACTACTCTGCAGACATCAAGGTTTGTGAAGGAGGGGGAGGAGGTGCTCCAGGCACCAGAGCAGAGATTCCCCTGCAGCCTGTGGAGAAGACTATGGTGAGGGAGGCTGTCCCCCTGCGGTAGAGAAGATATCCACCTGCAGCCCATGGAGGACCCCACGCTGGAGCAGGTGGAGACACCTGAAGGAGGCTGTGAACCCGTGGGAAGCCCATGCAGAAGCAAGCTCCTGGCAGGACCTGTGGCCCCGCAGAGAGAGGATCCCACGCTAGAGCAGGTTTGCTGGCAGGACTTGTGACATCATGAAAGATATAAGAAATGCAAATACAGAATGCAAATATTTTGGTTGTTATTTTAAATACTGTTGTAGGGTGTTTTTTTTTTCCTCTGTCAGCTCACAGCCCAATTACAGGTTTTACAGACACAGAGAAATGTGGGCCCTCTCCATAAGAAAACAGGAGACCTGGTTACCTGGGATATGGAGAAGTCTGAGGTACTCAACTACTTTTGCCTCAGTCTTCACTGGCAAGTGCTCTAACCACACCACCCAAGTTGCAGAAGGCAAAGGCAGAGACTGAGAGAATGAAGAATTGCCCACTGTAGAAGATCAGGTTCGAGACTATCTAAGGAACATGAAGGTGCACAAGTCCATGGGACTTGTGATGAGATGCATCCGCGAGTCCTGAGGGAACTGGCGGACGAAGTTGCTAAGCCACTATCCATCGCATCTGAGAAGCTGTGACAGTCAGGTGAAGTTCCCGCTGACTGGAAAAGGGGAAACATAACCCCCATTTTTAAAAAGGAAAAAAAAGAAAGACCCAGGGAACTACAGGCTGGTCAGTCTTAGCTCTGTGCCTGGTGAGACCATGGGGCAGATCCTCCTGGAAACTATTCTTGTGTGGTCGCTTTTCAGTTGAAGGAGAGAGGATTTTCCTTGTTAAAGAAATGATGCAACATTTACACCAGATAATGTGCTTATAGCTGCCTCTATTCCTGACCATTGCCATGTTAGAGTGACAATCCCAAATGCTAAAACTGCAGGAAAGGAAGCAGAAGAGCGGGGGAGAGGAGGGAGGACAACAAGCCATGCATATATGTAGGAGGAAGCCTGAAAGTGGTGGAAGGTCTCAGAAAAGGAAAAAGACCTTTTGGCAAGGGCTGTGGAAAGCAGTCTTACAGAATTACAACCCTGCTGAGGAGCCACCCGCAATCTGTTGACAACACCATAAAAACCGAACAAGATCAATGCAGAGCGTGCCAAACCCCTTTACAGAAGACGACTTGGGGCAGGGGGATGAGCTATTATATACATCAGCCTTGTGGGAGAGCATAAACTGTTGGAATTAGTTTCAGGCTGTTGATCTGCAACTGGGGTTAGAGAGGATGATACCAAAATGGCTGGGAGGCCAGGAGAAAAAAAAAAAAAAAAAGAATGCTTATGAGAGAATTGCCACACATTTCAGATATGACTAGGTATTTTAGGTGTCCTGTTTGAAACATTTTCTTTATTCTACATGTAAGCTCAGTGTTTCAGGATATTCGGACTCTAAAAATACTAAACACAGCTCCTACAGAGGAGACTTAACAGACAACTGAGATGTTCATTTGCATGAGCTGAAAAGACGAGCACAGCCCTTCTTCCTCCAGAGCACAGTGTGATGCAAATAAAGTGGCTTCACAGAAGTAAAAAAAGCATGTTCTTTCTTGTGCTTTTTTTTTTTTTTTTAATTTAAATTCTTTTTTAAGAATCCTCTCCTGAACTGTGCAGCGCTGCTCATATGGCTTTATTTATGCTGATGCACGGTAAGGCAGGGTGACTTTTTTGGTAATAACATCATGGTTATGTTTTTTCTATATGTGGAAATATGGTAGTTTGTTTATACAGGCACACATAACCCCATCCATTTCAAGGGAAGTGAAACCCTGAGTTAACCTGCCACAGGAGGAGAGGTAGCATGCTGTAGGAGATGAGAAGAGGTTGAACCACTGAAAGGGAAAGATTAAATTTTTTTTTTTTAGCCTAAAAATGTACAAGTGTGGACAGTTCACATTTGCTGTATCAAAACCTAAGTGTCCTATTTTATATGTTAATAGACAGCGCAAAGGTTATGTGAGTGAAAATGCATATCTGCATGATAGATGAGGAACTGAAAGTTTGCTATACGGAAGAAAAACACACACATGGAAGTAAAGAAAAAACCCTTATCTTCTACATTTTAGGACGATGGTTTTAAAAAACAGCAAAAGAGCAAAATTAAAGCAATTTAATTCAATCAGCTGCAGATCTGCAGAGTATTCTCCAACTCTGAGATCGTATCTGATGCATCCCCTCCCCAGGTGCCCCTCCTGCAAGTCTTGGCAGGGGTCTCTGATGCGCTTTAAATCCAAATTCCACACATGCTCGCAGGTAAACAATTATTTTAATACAACTCCAAATATTACACATGGCAAAGGCCAACAAAACGATATCTGAGATTTCTCCAAGTTATTAACATATCGTCCTGAAGAAACTGGCTTGAGCATGTGCTCTGCGGGTCAGAAAACCTGCCCTGGGTCAGACTGGAGAGGGAAAGCAGCCAAGCTCTAACGCCAACGCTTCGAGAGGTACTACAGGTTTACTAACATGACAGCATGGAGTTAGTAGACATTCAAATGCAAAACAATCAGTCATGTTAGTTGGCTTTGTACCTTCTCCTATGAATGGGAGGCTTCTTTATACCATCCCCCAGAACTCGCATTGAACTGAAAATGAATCATGGAGAGTGGTCAGCAGCTTGAATGGAAAAAAAATTAACAAATGGCAGCGGAAGGAATAATATCCCCAACACATGAATGACAGAGGGAATGGACGTATAGGCAAAACACAAAATTAAATACTAAAGGAAGTAATGAGTGTCTTTTCCTCCTCTCTCTCTTAAAATAAATGTGGTTTTCAGTTGGGGTTTTTTTTGTATAAAAAGGTTTCACAGCTATTAACCATGTTGCAACTTAGCTGCTGGCAAAGCCAGGTCAGTTTAAAGTTTAGATAAGGACAAACTATTTGACAGAAGCTGTTAGCAACTGTGATTAACACCAGCTCCAGTTTTGCAGTGCTTAATCCATCAGTCAGAAATGCTGGCATTTCTTTCCTCGGACCCAAACGTTAAAAACACTGCACCATTGTTGAAAGACAGGCATTTCAAATCCGCTATGAATGTCAGGAATTAACTGAAGGATGAACATCCTTTTGTGGTAGTTTTGTTAGTTTTCTTTGTATTTTTAATAGCAAAATGTAGACATGAGGATTATCCATGAAATGCATTTGAGGGGGGAAGTGGAGGGGAACTAAACATGTTTTCACATTTTAAGTCGATTGCATTTTTTTCCAGTCTTTTCTGTGAACAAACTTTTATGCTCGTCTCTCTTACAAACAGAAAACCTGCGATGCTGGAAAAGACCAAATCCTGCAAAAGATTTTTTTTTTTTTCCTGGTAGGCTCCTCACGTCCCGTATCAGCAGCTCTATTTAAGCTTGACTTGCTACTTCTGCCATCGGTGGAAAGACTATATTTTTGGTGTGGAAGGGGGCTGGACCAAGCTGCAAGCCCTTTGCTGGGACAGGAGGCACCGCTTACCCATTGGCTGACCATGCAGCGAGCCACCCCATTCCTCTTCCCGGCTGCGCAGCCCAGTTCTAATCCTTGGGTTGGTTTTGGTGGCAGTTCCACTTTATTTGGTTCATTTTCTGCTCATTTAGTGGGTGCAACCTGCTCACCTACTGAGCAAAGAAGGGGCACGGGTGCCCGAAGGAGGGGAGGGAGAACGGGCAAGGGGTAGTGGGAGCCGTGCAGGCCCTGCTCGTCAGCGGGACAAACCTTAGCTAAGGCTTATGCTCCGTGTAACTTCATTTCAAAGGTTTGCAAAAGTCAAGTTAGAATAAGAGCTTTTCCCCTTTAAATGGAAAAGCATCTACTGTGAGTGAAATAAATGAATAAGCAAACACCCCAAATATAACTGATTTGTATGAAAGTCACTTGTTTGGGCTTCACTTCCTCAGTATTTGTTGTTGCTCACTAAGCAACCAGAATCTCAACATCACAACAGCCACGTATGAAAAGAACAAAGAAGAACGAAAACAAAATCCCAACACCCCAAATAATCCAAATTCCTTTGTAACAGAAATATAAAACCAAACAGGAACCAAATCAGCAGCAGAGTCCCACCCAGCTTTTCTTTTTTTAATTAACCTATCTGACAGCTATCCTTATGCAGCAGCGGCTGTAGCTAAGAACATATGAGAGTAATTACTGTTCCTTTAACTCAAATTTTCTTACATTTACGATGAACGTATTTTCCCATATTGGAAGCAGCCTCCAAAGTCTGACGCAGGGGAATTTAACCCCATCTGTTAAGTGCTAGCAGTAATTGCCAGCTATGCAGTTTACCACCCTCAGAAATCCTTACAAAATAGGTCCTATACTTAAAAATAAATCTCTCTAAATGAGTTTATGAGCTTATGGACCCATTATGTCATAGACCTGCATGTATACCTTATGCTGACTCTTTTGTAGCTTTAAAAAGATATGTATTACTTAATTTAAATATTACCTAGGCACCAGGAATGAAGCCAAAAAAAGGTGGTAGTGGTTAATAATATCATCATCTTTCACCTTATATTACTTATAGGGTCCTGAATGCTTTTCAATGTTGGCTTTAAAATGTGAAGGGCCTCTGCCTTTCCTTCAGCGATGCCCACAACTCCCAAAGTGTAAAGGACACGTACATTTCTGATGGGAGGCTGCTGCCTCTCTCTGGGTTTAGCCGAACGGGTCGGTGACAACTCACCAGGAACCTGTTGTCAGTGGCCGGTTTTATTTTAATGGTACCACCAAACGCCACGGCTCTGTTTACCTTAAAAGCAGCCCCATGGACATGAAGACAGCAGCAGGCAGCCCGGAGAGCGGCGCTGGGCTGCACGCCTGGGCTTGCAGCTTCTGTAAGCTGCAGGTCTACACCACAGGGACGGGAGGCTACGGCACCCTGACCTGCTAAAATAAGTGGCCACTCCTGCT